GAACTTGAACCGCAGTTGACTACGTGGGAGTTCAGCGACATATACATTATGCCAACTGCTGGTCCCGGTTTCTCATACTTTTGACAGTGTTAGGTTTCATTTCTCTCATGATCTTTACAAACCTCAGGGAGTTTGGCAGACCAAGGAAGCAAGGGCAGCTGTATGCACAGGCACAGGCTCAAGCTTTCATCCTCTTACCCGATAACAGGCGATTCCCAGTCCTAACCAAGTAAGGCACGAAGGTGATCTCTTACAGGCCTGCAGATAGGTTTTCTTTGCCTTTTCGTACTGTAGGGAGAAAGCATAACTAAGCTACTGTTCTCTGGGAAGCTTCAAGTATAGTAGTGCTAAGATAATTGCAGCAATTATCTGATAGTGGCATTCTGGAACAGTCTAAGTTAAGTGAGTCTTTGGAATATTTTTATTTTTTTTTTATTTTTTGGAATGTATTTTTATGTCTCCTTTAGGGGAGCTATTGTAAGAAGCTGGTGAGAGGAGATGAACAGATCAAATGAAAAAGTAGACTTTCATCAGGAAGCAATTCCATAAATATTGACTGCTCTGGAAGAGTTGGGCAAGGAGTTACATTGCAAGTTCTGAGCAAGCACAGTGATTACCTGAATTCTACCTAGACTTTATGGACTATTCCGTTTTGCTTAAAAGTGGCATCACGTGATGAGAGACAGACGTAGAATCTCTCCTTGAAAAAGCCTCATCATTCTGAACATCTGTTCCCTGCATGGTAGCACAGTCAGTTGTATACTGAACAGCAGTGATAGAAGCTACAGGGCCAACTGGGAGTTCAGATCCTTGACCCACCGACCTGAAACATGTCAGGCATGCATGCACATGCCCCAAATCCTGACAAGCCGGAAAGACTAGAGGAAGGGGACCTCCTCTAGCCTAGTGTGGTAAGACCCTGTCAAAGGTGCTTTTCTCTCTTTCTCTTTCTCTTTCTCTTTCTCCCCCCATGTGTGTGCACATACTATTATAAATAAACATTTTTTAAAAGTCTTAAAAGTTCTTGGAAGCACATAATCACTTAGAAAATTCAAAAAAAAAAAAAAAAAACTTTCAGAAAAAGAGCTCCCAAAGGACCATTTCTTCCATCTCCAGTGGGGAAGATGGGTCTATAGAGAACTGGGTATTCTGGGGGAAGAGAATGGAGCATTGGATCCTTGTAGTGCAGTCTACTGTTTTGTTTACCGTGAATGTATTTGAAATTTTCCATAACAGAACTTTTCTTAAAAGGATTTGGGATGGGACCAGCAGTTAGCGTAATGGCTATGTTGCTGGACTCCCATGTAGTCGACCACGGTTCGAGTCTCGGACCCGGTGGCTTAAAACTCATGCCGGGCGCGTGTGCATGCCCAAGATCCCGAGAGGAGAATGGAGGAGAAGGGATTGCGGCGTGGCCGTCTCCCCTGGGGGGTGATTTCTCGCTTTCTGTCTGTCTCTCTGTCTCTCTCTGTCTTGCTGGTGAGCGCACGTGCCCTATAGCAAAAACTTCTTCCCCCCCCCAAAAAAAAAGGATTTGGGATGATTCCTGAAATAGGGGGAAGGATTGCTAAAGAGTCAGGTGTGAGTGCCTTGTGGAATAGGTTTAGCCTTGGTTGAATTACACTATAACCCTTTGTGCTGAGAAAGAAGTTTAGCGATATCCTTTTGAAGCCCATGACACTTTCTATTAGTGAAGTCAAGCCAAGAATATTTCTACTGTTGCAAATAAAATAAAAATTTAACTAAAATAACATTTACTGAGTTCTTAATAACTTTTTAATACCATAATGGTTAAAACCAGACTCTAGTTGTAGACTGCCTGGGTGTGAATCCTGCTTCCTCCAATTACTGGTCATTTGCTGTTGGGCAAGTCACTTAGTCTCTGGATATAAAAGTGAAATTTTGGATGTAAAAGTGTCATTATCATATTACTATTTTTAGCCCATCCTTGTTAGTGCTTCAACTATTATACGATCAGGTCTCAGTCCATGGGCTGATTTACACAGTTACTCCCATCCTCTATCCCTCACCTCATTTTCCTCCAGATAGATGAGCCCCAGTCGCAGGTAGATGAAGTGCATCTCAGAAGCATCCACCACAAAACTAACAGTTCGCTCATAGCATGCCTTGGCCTCAGCATGATTTCCACTCAGAAAATAGAGATGGCCCTTCACGCCCCAGACATTAGGGTTCTAAGGAAGGAAATAACAAGTAGAACATAAGACAAGGTGGTATTTAAAAGTACCTTGACAACCTTTGTTGAATATTTAAATTTAGATTATATCCATTTTCTTTTCCTAGTAGCACTCAGAAAGAGAGACATTTTATTGCAACGGGAGATATTTTTCTAGGTCTGCCCTATTCTCATTTCTTTCTTGCATGCTTCAAAGCCATTTTATCTGTGGAGTAAATATTAAGCAAAACAACTCAAGCGTAATCTTGATAGTATTCACAGTGAGACAAAAGACATCTAGAAAAGTTGAAATAGACAAACAGTATCTGCTAAAGAACTGCCCGTGTCCTTTTTTCTGCCATTTGCAAAAATCACGATTACTTGAGAAAAAGAAATGGAACCCCCAATTCTGATGACCAGAAACCTGTCCACAGCATGTCCTGCATGTCCCTTTCCCGGACTCAAGAGGCTTTAAAAATGTCATTACTAGGTAGTCCATCTGGGCTGCTTGTTGAAGATATTCCTCTGCCTTGGCAAAGTCCTTTTTGAGAAGGTGTGTCTGGGCCAGCACCAAGTAATACTCACAGCTGGGGCCTCCTTGAGGGCATAACAGCTCATGTGCAAGCACTCTGTGCACAAACTGCAAAGAAAACCAGATTGTAAGGACGTGTAAATGGCTGCACTGTGTCAGTCCCACAGCTTTTGCAGGTGAAGGATTCTGTCCCTGATAATAAATCATGAGGAACATACTACAGAGTAAAATGATCCCCTCAACTCTGAAAGATTAGAGGTGAATTATATTCAGCACTTACGGTTCCATCATCAGCTACTCACTTAGGTACCAAATGTAGACATTTCTAAGTGAACACCCTGCAGCATCACACTCTGGTTTTTCTGATCAGCCCGCAAAGTAAGCTTTAGATTGTATTTACTATGCGGCAGACAAAGGCTCTTCATCCATCACCCACTCACACATGACGGAGCATTTTCAGGCAGCTGTCTTTATAAGGAAACTTTTCAAGGAGACAAAAACCTGCCTTTTGATTAAGAAGTTCTAGACTTGAGATCTTGGGGACATATATGTCTGTTTCTTATGTGCCTCCAGACATTCATAATATTTACCAGTTTTGTACTTTGGGCTAGTCTTTGTATTTAACACTTTATAAGACCTACACATTTGTCAAAGTCAAATGTATGTGCTAAGCAGAGAGGAAACCTTTATTTTCTTCTCCCTGTGTTCCCATCTTAGTTTATTATAGTGTAGAAAATCCACTAGTATATCTTTTTTTTAAAATATAATTACTTATTTTATTTATTCATTCATTTATTTTAATTTGACCAGAGAGAGACAGAGAGAGAGAAAGACTGAGAAAGCAAGCTGCCAGGTCCGGGACTCAAACCGTGGCCAGCCATGTGGGAGTGTCCAGCACCTTAACCACCACGCCACCTGCTGGTCCCCACTAGCATATCTTCTCAGAATACAGAGTACTGGGGCGGAGGGGACCGGCAGATGGCGTAATGGTTATGTTGCCGGACACCTACATAGTCCACTGCTGTTGGAGTCCTGGACCTTGTGGCTTAAAATTCGTGCAGGGTGTGGGGGAGCTGGCAGGTGGCATGGTGGTTAAGGCTCTGGATTTCCACATGGCAGATCATGGTTTGGGGGCTGGCAGGTGGCGTGGTGGTTAAGGCACTGGACTCCCACATGGCAGACCATGGTTTGGTGGCTTGCTTTTTTACTTTCCCTCTCTCTCTCTCTGTCTGGTCAAATTGAAAAGCAATAATAATAATAATAAATAAAATTAAATAAATTAAAAACAAACAAACAGGGACTGGCAGATGGCATGATGTTTAGAGCCTCTGGATTCCCATATGGGCAACCCCTGTTCAACTCGTTGGCAGCTTGCTTTCTCATTTTTCCTTTCTCTCTCTTTCTGGTCAAATTAAACAAACAAACAAACAAACAAACAAAGAACTCATGTTGGGAGCATGTACATGTGTGCCTGAAATCCCAAGAAGGGAGGAGAAGCAATTGCAACGTGGCTCTCCTCCCTAGGGGGTTATTTCTTGTTTTCTATCTCTCTGTCTCTCCGGCGAGTGTATGTATCCTATACCAAAAATCTCTCTTAAAAGAAAAAAAATACAGAGGGGAATTATTGCAGCTGTTCTTTCTACCTATCTCTGGATCTCTGACCTGGGAGGACAATAAGTTAAGTTACTTGGGAGAAAGAACCTGTCTCTCTGATGAGAATGGTTAATGTGTGTGTGTGTTGTGAGATTCTTCCTCCTCTAAAAGGTGGGTCCAACTGAGACGCAGGAAGTTAGAAAAAACATGGGGCACTGATATGTTGTTTATTGCGTTCAGGGGGAGCTCACAGAGTTCTTAGTAGTGCTCACAGTGCTTCATCCCTGGTAGAGCTCACAGCATGGAGCTGAGCTAAGCTGAGCTAAGGCCACCAAGGCTAAGCTAGCTGAGCTGAGTAGGTGCTCCCTTTCTCTTAAAGGGGCTATAGACAATAGTGGCTCATTGACAACATCAGACTGTCTCACACGCACGTGCATGTTACATGCGACAGCGTAAAACAGCAAAGTCATAATTACATAGCAAGCACACAAGTGCACTACAACTAATAACATAAGTTGTTTATCCTGTGGCCTTAAAACACGGTACGATAGGGAGTGTGGGAGCCAGACTAAACTATCCTGACTCCATTTTTCCTACAAGATGTTAAAGCTTCTACCTTAATGTGGCCCAATCTCACCCAAGGATTTTGTAATCCTAGCCCTTTCTTGCGCTTGCCTGCCTTCAAGTGTGACATGTAGTATATAGGATCAGGGCCAAGTCTCTTGGCTCCTAGATCCTGTTCTCTGTCTGCTATTGCTCGCTTATGGATATATACTTCTCATTTCCCACATGGTAGGTAGAACTTGTAGGATGCTCTTCTTTGACAAAGGCTGCAATGTTCCACCTGCAAGTGCAGGGGTAAGTCAGATATGGGACTTGTTGCATTCTCCAGGCTCTTGTGAACCCCCAATATTCACATAATGTGAGTTCTCACAATAAAGTGACATTAGGCTGCATATGACTCAGAGTCTGACTTTGCTCTGCAAGTGTTCTACGGGAAGCTGACTTAGTGAGGTTTTCTGACACTGTCTGCAGAGGAAGGTTCGTGTTTGGGTGTTCTTCCCACTGGGCTTTAGATGTACTCTCAAAAGCATACTATATTTCTGCTTCACACATACTTCAACTTGCAAAGATACCTCTATGTGCAGACAAAATAGTTCTCTAAAATTTTTTCACCTACTTGCCATTTTCCAAATATTCTGACCTGCACAGCATTGACTTTCATCAGGAAGCGTATGGTTTCCATGAAGATGGTGGTAGAAGGCTGCACAATACCATAAGACACAGGAGGCAGGAAAGCTGATGAATCCTGACATTTTGGCGCTTCTGAAAATATTACATTAAAAGGATAGAAAATTGGGGCCATGGCTGACTGCGGTTCAGTCCTGGACCTGGCAGCCCAAAAAATCACAACAAATAAGTAGATACATACATACACACATATATATATGCTTTAAAAAAAGGACAGAAGATTAGAAGTAAAGAAAAAATGCCAGAAGTTCAGTTACATTGATGTAATAGTGAGATTATACTGATCTAATCTGTAAGAAAAACCGTAATCTGGAAAGCAACAAACTGCTCTCTAGCAATGGTCCCCAAAGAGGTAAGCTCAAAGGATCTCAAGGTAAATCTACTTGTACCCAAATGCAAGTCAAAACCACATTAACAGGTTTTTTAAATATATGGTTCCCCTTGTATATAAAACACAATTTGTAAATATTCTAAAAATGAAGAATTGCTTGAAAATTGAGCTGGTCCCATAGTGCAGCAGTTAAGCCCTATGCATAGGGAGTGAGATCCCACAAGGCCAACCATTGCTTGAATCCTGGCTGTGGCAGCTTGAAAAACATCCAAATCTCGACAGGATGGAGAAATGTTGGGAAAGGGATTGTGGCGTGATTACTTCCTATGAAGAGGGGTGTTTTTTCTTTCTCTCTCTTTTTCTCTAGCAATAAAAACAAAGACTTGTTAGAAAATCATAGGTCTATAGTTGGCTACTTCTGTGAGCTAAATGAAAGAGTTACACCATTAAGTTTGGATTTGGGAGCCTATCCTAATGTAAAGGAACTTGGACAATGTGATAAACTAACCAACTTCAAACAAGTCGGAATTGCCTCTTTCGTAATCAAGAATCTTCATCCTTGTTCAGTTTGCTTATGCCCCTCTTACAACTGAAAATCTTTATTCTTAGTTACCTTTTTTCGCTGGGGTCTCCTTGAAAAATATATTGGATGGTTTTTGACCCATATTTGGATCCTGAGATTGTACAGTCAAGAAAGGCTCTTGTGGTTCAGGATATATTTTGGAAGATTCTTCAAGAAACCCATCTAGAATGGATATTGTAGCTTGTGGTCCTAAACAGATCAAATTTTAATGAAAACAAAAACGTTTCCACATTGGATATTAAAAGGTTTTTATAAGAGATAAAATTTACAAAGCATAAAAACATATTACCTAAATATTACATGAAGGAAAGGCTTGTTTGGAAAACTTGTTTATATTTCTTTTTTTTTTAATAATTATTTATTTTATTATTTATTTATTCATTCATTGATTTTTAAAATTTGACCAGAGAGAGACAGAGGGTGAGAGTGAGAGCGAGAGGCAGTGAGAAAGCAAGCCACCAGGTCCAGGACTTGAACCCTGGTTGGCCATGTGGGAGTGTTCAGTGCCTTAACCACCACGCCACCTGCTGGTCCCACTTGTTTATATTTCTTAATAATTTAAAGAGTACAAACTGGGACCAGCAGATGACAATGGTATGTCACTGGACTACCACATAGTCGATCACGGTTTGAGTCCTGGACCCAGTGGCTTGAAACTCATGCTGGATGTGTGTGTGTACATGCCCAAAATCTTGAGAGAAGAATGGAGAAGGGACTGTGGTATGGCCACCACCGACAGGTGATTTCTCATTTTCTGTTTCTCTGTCTCTCTCTGTCTCACTGGTGAGTCCACATGTCCTACAGCAAAAATCTCTCTCCAAAAAAAAAAAAAGACTACAAGCTAAAGCAACAGCACAGCTTTTGTCACGGAGACCAACCCCTTCAAGTACAACCTTGCTTCCTGTCTAAATCATTATAATGTCAAATAGATCTCTATTTTTGTAAGAGATTTATTTTTTTTGCTATAGTGTTAGTGTGCTTGCCAGAAAGAGACAGAAAGTGAAAAATCACCCTCTAGGGAGAATGGCCACACCACAATCCCTTCTCTTCTACTCTCCTCTCTTGATTTTGGGCATCCACACACATGCACCTGATATGAGTTTCAAGTTGCCAGGTCTGGGACTCAAACCATGGCCAACCACATGGGAGTCCAGCACCTTAATCACTATACCACCTGTTGACCCCCAGATCCATATCATAACAGTTACTTGTTAAATCCAGAATCTCAAGAATTCAGATGACAACATTTTTTTAAATTTAATTTATTCATTCACTTATTTTAATTTTACCAGAGAGAGACAGAGAGAGAGAGAAAATGAGAAAGAAAGCCACCAGGTTGGGGACTTTTGGGTGTCCAGTGGTTTCACTATCACACCAACTGCTGGTCCCCTCGATGACAGAATTTATACATTTTTAGATAACATTAAAGCCCCTAGAAAACAGGAATTCTATTCATCTTAGTTTGGTGTTCAAAAAATAATATCGTGGGTCAGCAGTTGGTATGGTGATTAAGGTGCTAGACTCCCACGTGGCTGACCATGGTTTAATTCTTGGACCTGGCGGCTTGCTTTCTCATTCTCTCCCTCTCTCTGGTGAGCACATGTGAACTATAGCAAATTAAAAAAATAATAATAATAAATGGAGTTACATAAAAAATAAGACTATTAATCATATAAGTAGCTATATTTGACTATGTCTATATATCAGGTATTATGTTAAGAGTTTTAATGCATAATCTTATCTTTCACAATAACATTATACAGTATTTTTATTATGCTCCTTTAAAAAAAGTAAATCACAGAAAGTTAATGTCCCAAAGCTCTTAAACATGTCATGCTCTCTCTCCAATAAATGTTTGACGAATAAAAATAAAAAGCAACGGCTTTTGAGCTGTGAGCAATTCCTTTCAGGGGCTGAGACAACCAAAGAGTTTCTGCTCAGATTTCACTCTCCAGGCCCCAAGATTCACCAGACTGATAGGAGAGGTAAAGTGCAGGCCCTTTGAGAAGTTAATCTGCATTTGAGCTGTGAGCAATCCTTTTCAGGATTTAAGACAACCAAAGAGTTTCTGCCCAGACTTCACCCTCCAGATTCCAAGATCCACCAGACTGGTAGGGCACCCTCTGTATTCTTCTCTCTGTCTCTCCTTGTCTCTATCTGTCTCTCGCTCTAATTTTTTTTTTTTTTAATGTAAAACATCGCTTGGCTGTCTCATTCCCCTGTATCTTGCTAATTCTCACCTTTCTCCCCTCCCAGATAGGAGAGGTAAAGTGCAAGCCCTTTTAGAAGTCATCTGCATTTGGGTCAAGAAGAATTCCTTTTGCCTGCACGTACCACGTGGTTCTCTCTCTCTCTCTCTCTTTTTTTTTTTTTTTAGCCTTTTTTCCTTTTTTTCTTATTGTTTCTTTATTTTTCTTTTTCTTTCTTTCTTTGTTTTACGTTCTTTTTCCTTTTTTTCCTCCTCTTTTTTTTTTTTTTTTTTTTTGCCTTTTTTCCTTTTTTTCTTATTGTTTCTTTTTTTTTTTTCCTTTTTCTTTCTTTGTTTTACGTTCTTTTTCCTTTTTCTTTTACCTTTATAACTTTGCTGCTCAGCCTGCACACACTGATTAGTCCAGTGCACACAGCCAAACATCTGATTACTATTAAGGTCAGAATAATCCTCAATTCCCACTGAATCTGCTGCACAAAGGGAGAAGAATGAAACTTCAGAGAGATTGTAGACCACCTCCTCCTGCACACCTCTGAATGCTCAGATTTAGCTTCAAGAAATTAAGAAACATATAATTCATCAGATGATCCAAAACCACCACAGAGGCACAAGAAATATGAGAAACCAAGAAAATATCTCTCCCCCAAGGGAAAAGATCAACTCCTCATACATAGACAGTACAATGGAACTCGTGGAAATGTCAGATAAATAATTCAGAATATTTGTAGTGACAAAACTAACAGATATGCAAGAGAAGAGAGAGAGTGAACTCCAGAAGATGCAGAAGAAAAGAGTCATTGAGTTCCAGGAGGTGCCGAAGTTCTTGTACAAGTTGAAAGAAGATATACATATCATAAAAAAGAATCAAATGGAACTGTTAGAGGTGATAATACACTAAATCAAAACTTCCCTTGAGGGAACCAGCAGTTAGCGTAATGGCTATGTCGCTGGACTCCCACGTAGTGGACCGCGGTTCGTGTCCCGGACCCGGTGGCTTAAAACTCACGCCGAGCGCGTGTGCGTGCGTGCCCAAGATCCCGAGAGGAGAATGGAGGAGAAGGG